TCTTCTTTTCAAATGAATAGAGAATTATTCAAATCCTCTATTCCTTGTCCTGGTTCACTGCATTTTGTACTTTGGACTTTTGACTTGTTTATATTATTATTATTATTATTATTATTATTTTTAAAAAGATTTATTTATGCATACAAGAACTGGGGTACAGGTCAGAGGTGCAGGAGGGTGAGAGGATTCACCAGAGACATAGCAGGGAGCAGAACAGGCAGACGGAGAGAAAACACTGCTGAGGGGAGCAGCGGGCAAGATAGGAGAGGTGTTCGGTGCCATGTGGGTATCTCCCTGGCCAGCCAGGAATCGAACCTGCATTGCAGAGGCTGTGGACAGCTTCACAGCGCTTTGCTCAACCCCCTGTGCCACCAGGGAGGCCCTACTTGTTTATGTTAAAACATCTTCTGGAAAAGGTGAATTGAGTCAAAGACTAGTTTAATAGCAGAGAGTTGTGGCTTCGTTTTATCTCAAGACGTTCATCACTTTAAGATAAAAAAAGTCCTTTTATATTGTGTTTATCTAAATTAATCTAAATATCAGATTGACAAAAATAGTTGACTAATACTCTGGTTTCTCTTCAAATTATATAAATCCTCCGTCTTTTATAAAAATAGATGTTAAGTACATTTAAACTTAGAGGGAGGCAAAAAAATAGACGTGCTTATTGCTGGTTTTGTCATAAAAATTTGGAAACTTAAATCTTCTCCTTTTAATGCATTTTAAGAGGATAGAAAATCAAGAATTTTCAAGTGGAATAGGGGAGTTTTTGTAATAAAATATGAAGAATATGCATGTTATTATATTTTAAAGATTTGCAATTATGTCTTGATCACTGTTAAGGGATTACATGTTTTTAATGAAATGTACATTGTCAATGTGCAAAGCAATAAAATGAAAAATAGAACTGAAAATTTAATATATATGATAATACACATAAATCTATTAGAGAAAGAAAAGCAGAATTAATTATAATTCAGTGCCCAGAGGGTGAATAAAAATGGTAAAGAATTATGAAATAAAAGTTCATTTTGTTATTAGTTTTTGCATAGTAAAATTAGAAAAGAAGTAAGTTTTTAAAAAAACTTGATAATATAAAATATTTCATTGAAGGGAAACTAGGAGAAAATGTTAATTATAAGCAGCACCTAAAAAGAGAAAAATCTATTCTATCTTGAAGTAACAAAGGTTAAATTTCTAATTAATTCATGGTTTCATTTTGAAAACTAATCACAACAGCATTTTGAATATTTTAAATATTCAAGTGATATGCAAAGATAAAGCATATGTGAAGCTCATGTGGTTTTGAGCATCAATAATACTCTCCCAGGCTTTTTGTAAAAACAATTTGAAGTTAATCTTTTTCTTTTTGGTGTTGTTTTCTGTAGTTAGTTACTTGTATTTGTGAGAATTCTGATTAATATATATAGCTTTTATTTGTCTTAAAATCTTAAGCATTGCGAGTGTAGAGTTCAGGGATCAGAGGTGGTTTTCTGTGACAACGTGGTTGACTTCTAAATTTTATGATTATTTCATTAGACTGTTCACTATTTTATATCATATTCTTTTATGCTAGTGTTTCTAATGGTTTGAACTGATACTAATCTCAGTATAAGCCTGTCTCTGTTTAGATTTTTGTGCCTTTTCCATCTTTGAATGCAAGATTAAAGATATTTAAAGTATATAATTCTATGTGGTGGTCATCAGAAGGATACTAAGTCCTGCTTATTAAATTTAATTATTTGATTGTCTGTTTTACTAAGAGAAAAGAAAACCTCATACATTTTATTTTCCAGTTTTTTTTTTTTTTTGTGTGGGACCCTCACCGGTGGCCGGGGAACAAACCAGCGCTGCAGAGGCTGTGGGCAGCCTCGCAGCCCAGTGCTCAACCGCTGCGCCACCAGGGGAGGCCCACAATGTATAGTTTTTATTCTTGCCAAACATGTCAAAGTTTTTAATTTGAATGGAATGTTCTCAAAAAGAAAAAAAACTGTTTTGCATAATATTCCCAAAATTACTGCCATGTTCCTAATTTTCAAAAAAAGAAAACATTTATTTTTCTAACTTGTGACTTTAAAAAGAAGCATTATTTAACAACATTGTATCTTTTATTTGTAGCAGTGTGATATTATGGAAAAATATCAACAGATTGGGTGTTGAGTCCTGTCTCTTGATAAGAGACCTTATTAAAGTCATTTTACTTCTTGGCTTTGGCTTCCTTATTTGTAGAGTGTGGTAATAATTCATGTTTTAATGGAGTTGTGAAGAAAGAGTAAAAAAATATGTATGTGTTATACTTAGCACAATGACAGGAACATAGATTATCAGTTATTTTTCTAAAGAGTGAAATTTGAAGAGCTTCTGTAAATTCACAACACTCAAGCTTGCTAGAAGGTGGGCGTAGAGGTTTTTCCAGAGTGTCCTATGTCTCAAGGTGGTGCTGAAATCGGTATACAGTTATGGACCAATCTCCTTTTTTGTGCTTGCTTCTCAGGGTCTGTGAAAGGATGAACTGCATAACGCATATATCTGCAGAGCCCTTTCATACACCTTGAATTGCAATAGGTGGCCACTTCAGAGTGAAGAGAAGCGAGAGGTGTCATTATTATTACCTGTGTTTCAGGTACGAGGACGGCTCAATTCTAATTCTAGTATCTGGATTGTGGCTCTGGGCACTGACATGGTGACTGAGGATTGGCTGCATCTGTAGTTCCAGGGCTTTATTTGTAGGACATCCACTACTGACTGAAGTAGTGATAATAGTGAGAGACAGAGTGAGGATTCCTTAGTATACTGTGTCTGTTATCATTCCATCTAATTTTTTTCAATGAATTAACTATTATTTTAAATTGAGGTAACATTGGCTTTCATGATTGTTGATATTTTGGAAGTAGAGGATGCTCCCTGCCCCCCTCAGGTATTGCTACCATTCCTATTTTTGACCTGATATAAAGGTTGAACCAGACAAATTATTTGAAGAGAGCTAGATGAAAAGCACCACCGGTTCGATCCCTAGCCGCCGGGTGAGGGTCCCACATGGTGCGACAGACCTCTCCTGCTGCGCCCGCTGCACCCCTCAGCAGTGTCCTTTGTCAGTCTGCCTGCTCTGCTCTCCGCTCTGACTCTGGTGCATTCCCTCACCCTCCCTCGCTTCTGACTATACCTAGTGCTTATATAAATAAATAAATAAATCTTAAAAAAAAAAAGTGATCAGACTATTCTCTAGTGGATAATGATTGATAAATTATGTGGTAACATTTCAAAAATAAGCAGAACTTAGTGGATCTAACTCAGTGGTAACAGCAATTAGAAATGGAACTCATCCATGTGTCTTTAGAAATAAAAATAATTCATCTTACTGAGTTTTTCATGATGGTGAATATTATTTAGATATTTGAACATGTGGATATAAGATGTATTTCTAGTTGTATATTTATGTATTATTAAGAACAATCAGTATTTTCCTTAAACAAATGTTCTTTTTAGCAAGGTTATTAGTAGATATGAGTATATTGTACACCTATACAGGACTCTGGTGTCAGGAAATATCCCATGTGGCTGACTAATACAATTTTTATGGTGTAATGAATAAGAGTAGCTATGTAACAGAGGTATTATTATGCATAGCAGGCACTGTATTTGAGGAACTGAATCTGGAGATGAGGCCTGGATTGCTAAGAGTTGTATAAGACATTTCGTCTCCTGTCTTCTCATTGATTCATTTCTAAAGTGAGTGGATTGGACCTAGTTGCCTCTAAAGGACTACTTCACATCTTGGATTTTACAATTTGGCAGATGATGAAATTAATATTGTTTCCATTAACTTGTAGAGCTATTTTGGTTAGGTTTATATTATCTTGGAAAAAGAGGTTTAGAATTCCTTTGATAAATCTAAGAAGTGTTTTATTAAATTGAGATTATTATTATTATTACTAACATTTAAGTTATGTTTATTGAGGTAATGGTTTACATCACAGTATGTATCTTGGGAGTATAGATTTAGGCCTCTACTATTGTATATTATTTCACCCCCCAACCCCCAGCCCTGGTAATCCTCCATCAGCCCCTCCTCTTCCCTTTGCCCCCGCCCTAAATGAGATTAATTTTTAAGGAAATTGAATGGATTAATATAGCAGAGACATTTTTAATATATATTTATATAAAGCATTCAAAAATAAGACTGGATAGAACAAGTAAGCAACTTAATCTCAATAGTAAGTTAAAAATGAGCAATTGATTAAAAATGTTAATTTAGGAAAGCTATAGGAAATAGTTGGTATTAGGGAGCTAGAGGTAACTCTTCTGGCATATTTATTACATTCAAACTTGTTTTTAGAGAATTGCTATGATTTTGAACTTTGGGTTCAAAAGTGAGAGCCAACAAGATGAAATACAGTCATGGACATTTTGAAAAGCAAAGAGTTAATATATATTGAGAGGCTTTTTTTTTTTTAATTAGGCTGGAGAAGATGCACAATAATATTCAAGCATTTGAAAAGGAATTTTGAAAAGAATTGTGTTCATTTATCTTCTATCTCTAATGGGGATGAGAGAGAAGCAGGGGGCTTAATTTGCAGCAAAAGAATAATATAATTCATTTATTCAGACGCTTTTCACCTCACATTGTGATTAAACACTGTAACGGTTGACCGAGAACTGTTAAAAGTCCCTATTTTTTTTCTTTTAAGAGTGAATAGAGCTGAATTACATCCTTATTCTTGTGACTATACATTCTCACTTTGTGCTTCTTTGATGATCCTGTATAGACTCTTAGCATTTCAACAGAGTTAAAAGCATTAAAAGGAGACATATTTGGTGGCAAATTTCCTCCCCTCCAAATACATTATTTTTATTTTATCCTTTAAAGTAAAATACAGCATCTTTTGTCTACTTTGATATGTAAACAAGCTTATAAGTGTTCATGCAAAGTGAAATGGAAGAGACCAGGTAAAAGCCATTTAATTCTTTTTTTCCCTTTCCTTTTTTCTGTTTGGTCACAGGCTAAATGTAAAATTCATTTGAGAAGCTGCTGTGAAGTAGTGTGAAATGCTGCATTCTCTGTGAGCACTCCATGGTCTGCTAGAGCTTCTGAAGGGAGACAGGATGGACTTGTGCCACTTTTCAGGTTTGTTTCTTAAACTCACTTCATAGATAAACAGCAATGGTGAGCTTTTCAAGTGGCTCCAGGGAGGTAGAACACCTCCCTACTGTTCTACATTAGAGTAAAATTTAGCAGATACTTAAAAGCATTTCACAGTCTCAGAACAGAAACATAAAATAAATTCAAGTATTTGGATCTTTGCCAAGTCCTTCAAAGAAAACTCAAAAGACTCTCCTTTTCCAGTGGGCATAGCTTGACATTTCCCTTTAGGTTATAGTTGTTAAATAGATCTGTGGCTCACATCTTTACATTTTTCCAAGTTCGGATGTAGGACATTGTTTTCCCCACTCCCCCCAACCCCCCCAAGGTGTTTGCTCGGCATCTAGAGCCCAGGGATGGGAACTGGTTAATAACAACATTGTGTGTGTGTGTGTGTGTGTGTGTGTGTTGTTCTACCCTTGTAGCAGTTAGATAACAGGTAGTAGCCTACAGGGAAAGACAAGAAGACATAATTAAATATTTAGAAATTAAAAGGGGGTCACAGAAATATCTAAGAGCCATCATGATTTTTCAGGCAAATTCTAGAGATATGAGTCTAATTCTGGTATACCTTCACCATGCAAGTTGTTGGGTAACTTACTTAATCTTTCCAGGCACAAATTCATCCATAACAAAGAGTAATAGAAATAACTATCTCCCAGAGTGGCTAGAATTAACTCAGACAAGGAATGCAATATGATTATTATATAGTAAGCATTCAATATATTAGCTATGATTGCTAACATTGAAGGAAAGAGGTCAAGAATGCCACGGGTGACAAAAAATTGTAGCTGAATTACCTGTTCTAACAAAAGTGTGAGATTTTAGCTCTCTGGAGAATAACCCTGGAACAGTGCTACTTCTAGGTAGGATGGATATTATTGTTTGCTGCTCTGCAGTTTTTCTGTTCCCAGAGGGTTCTTGTTTTAAACTTGTGACCTTGCAGTGCACCTGGTGTGCCTGTTGGCAGTCTCTTGATGATGCAAGGTTTGGGTCCAGGACTTTGGCTCAGCCTTCCCAGATCAAGTGGGACTTTTTCTTTTCCCATGAATATGTAACATTCAGGGGTTTCCAGCTGCTTCCTTGCCATTTACTCCTTGATTCATCCCTATGAGGTAGATGGGTAATTAGCATGGATTTTATAACCTCCTTAGGAAAGAAAAGGAACTAACCAAGCAAATATGAACGTGGTAGAGAATTTAATTGTCTGATGCTTCCTTCTTAGTAACCTACATGCATTGTGCAAATACTTTTCAGCTCCTAAAGTTCACCTGTGGTGGAATTCAAGTTCTTTCTCTTAAATAATTACTTATCCCGAAGGAAGTTTTTCTCATTAGCAACAACAAATGTACACAAACTAGTCAGTTGTCTATGACATTTGTTCTCCTTCCTTTTTTTTAAATAGCTGTTGTTGGTGAAGAAAAAAACTAAAAAGAAATCAAATCCTGGGTTTTTGTGGAAAAAAAGCTGCATGAAGGATTCTCTTTGATCCTTTGGGAAAGTTAACAGTATTCAAATAATTATATTGTTATATGTTCACCCACCCCTTTCTCTCTCACCCTTCCTCAAACCTTGTGCATTTGAAGAGTAATATCATCATAATAAAATGTGTTGGGCATTTCTATATGCCAGGCTCTTTCCTAAGCCTTGTATGTGTAGGATTGTAGAAGATACCAGAAGAAACAAGAAAAAAGTAAAGTTACATATCCTTTGATATTTCTTAAAGTGAAAGTTCAGTGACCCACTTTATAATTTTTGGTGAAGGGGTCCACTTTTGGGAAATCCATTTGTGAATTTTACTCCTGATGAAACAAGAGCACTCCATTCCTTATCAGGATGTGACTGATTTTTGCTTTGAAAGCAAGCTATTAGTTTATCACATCAGTCAATTATTTTTTTATATATCTGAGTCCTTGGTAGCTAATTTTTAGTTTTGCTCAAGTTTCTCTTCTCTTCAACCTTGGGACTCCTATTTTAGGACTCAGATCATAAAGCCTAATGCAATCATTAATTTAGCGTACATTTTGTAAACTTACTAAGTAACTAAAAATTGTTTTTCAAAGACAAATGTAAATTGACTTTAAAGTTTTCTTTAAGATGGGAGACTATTGCTGTAGCCCTAAAATGAAGGAAATAGACACTCCATTTGGCAAATATATTTATCTATATTTTAATTTATTAGTTGTTTTATTTTTTATTGAGGTAATGTAGGTTGATAACACCATATATGATTTAGAGGTATAAGTTCACATCTCTTCAAATCTATGCTACTACATCATACCTACCATCAAGGAACCCATAACCCTCCACTGTAGTTTATTAGACTTCCTTCCCTGTCCTGCCTCCCCAGACTCCTCCTTGTCCTCTGGTAGTCTTAGTTCTACAGTTATATTTCTAAGGTTGTTTTTTTTTTTTTTTTTTTTTTAGTTTAGTTTAGTTTGTTTCTTTGTTTGGGTTCTTTATGTTTATATAAAGAATGTAAAATCATCTGGTGTTTTTCTTTATCTTCTGATTTCTTTCTCTTAGCATAATCCCCTCCAGTTCCATCCATGTTGTTGCAAATGGCCAAGATTTCTTTTTCCTTTTTAATGGCTGAGTAGTATTCCACTGTGTAGATATACCACATCTTCTTAATTCGCTCATTTGTCATTGGGCACTTAGGTGGTTTTCATAACTTGGTTATTGTGAATATTGCTGCAAAGAACATAGGAGTGCATCTATTCCTTTAATTTAGTTTTTTGCATTATTTGGATAGCATATATTTTAATTTATTTTTGGCAGCTGTTATGAACTAAGTACCATTCTGGAATCTGGAAGAATACAGTTCTTCTCATCATTAATCTTAAAATCCTATTATTCTGTGTCTTTAAAAGATATCTCTTAATAACATCTGCATTCCATCCCTCATCACCTTCTCTGCATTGGAAAGTTTCTGCTCATGTTTGAGTTGCTACCCCTACAAATAGAATTTGATGTGAAATATGATTTTATCCAAGACTTAATTTCAAGGAAGACCTGCACTGAAGACTATATGTATAGAAGGCTATAAATAGTTATATTAAAATTTGAGTAAACCCATCAAATTCTCTTTTTCACATGTCCTTGCAACACCTTCCTGTACTAGAAAACAAATTTGGAATTGCTAGAGTTCACATGCTTTGTTTCCCTTTAGTGACATGAATAGGCAACTAGTAATTTATGATGAAAGTATCATCTACAGCAGAGCCTCTGGAAAAAATCTTGAATGACTTTGCTATGTATCCAATAAATAAATATTTAATTTTCATTGTTTTCTATTTCCAAATATATGTGGATCTCAACTAATGCTGAGCTAGAAAAAAATAGACTTATCTAAAGTATAATACCTACGTAAGAAGATAATAAAATGATGATGATTATATAAATTTAGTAAATAATAATGAGAGAGGAAGATAATGAAAAAGAATAAAATATTCAAATAATAAACTGGTATAAAATATAGTATTACTCTTGAAAATTATACTACATGAAAACTAAAAAATCTGAATAGTAAATGGACACAACTTTAAAATAGACTTTTATTATTCTATATATGAGAAAAATAGGGATCAAATGTTATAACTTATTTCAAGTTTCTATTACATTTAAATTATTTCTGATTATAGGTTTGCTTAGTTCAAATTACTAAGGTTAAAATTATTTGATTTTGTTTTTTATGAAATATGTAATAAAAATGAAAATAAAAAATTCTTTGGCATGTTAGATGGTGATAGAGACCTTATTCATTCATTTTTGCAATTGAATCAACATTTTAAGTTATGTAGAAATGAAAGTTTGAACCTAGTCATTTGTTATATGTCTAAATTCCCACAAGATGGCAGAATTTCAGAGCATTTAAACAATGTGTGTGGCTAGGTAGCTAGAGTTATTTTAAATCTTATAGCTAGGTTAATTACAAATTCTGTTTTCTGATCAGTGAGGCAAATACTGCTCACATACAGTATAATCCTAGTCTTTGCTTGTTACAGATTCTTACTAAATCAGTGAAATCATGAATTGCATGGGGTTTATGATAGCCCTCAGGTGGAGATCCACTTTCTTGTTTTCTGACTAATTTGCAGTCATTCATATTCACCAGGAAGTCCTGCTTCATCTGTATGTTTTATTTAGTTTATTCATTGAGGGTCAGAGACAACTACATGCAGGATCTAACAGATGGAGCACCACAGTTTCATACTTCAGAGGTTCTGGCCACATGGCAGTGTAGTTTTGCAAGCCGTCAGGAGCAGCAGTCCTGTGCATCACCAGAATTGTGCCTAAAATTATTTATTTTTAAAGATTTATTTATTTATGCATGTAAGAACTGGGGTTCAGGCCAGAGGTGTGGGGGGTGAAATGATTCACCAGAGAGAGTGGGGAACAGAACAGGCAGACTAACTGAAATACACTGCTGAGGGGAGCAGCGGGGGAGTCAGGAGAGGTCTGCTGTACTATGTGGGTAGTTCCCTGGCAGGGGATCGAGCTTGTGCTGCTGTGGCTGTGGATAGCTTCATAGGTTGTATCTTAACACTTTGTGCTACCAGGGAGGCCCTAAAAGTATTTAACTGATTAAGTTTTACTCATTCACGACTTGATATGAACTAGAGACATAGGCTTGTTGTTGGAATCCTTGGGGCAGGAATTCCACTTTGTTGTTCTCTCTCCCTCACCCCTAGCTCCCTTCCTCCCTCCCTTTGGTGCTAGTGGTGGTATTGTGACTCTCACCAAGGACAATTCTCTAAGCTGGCGTTCATGTTTTCATAACCTAAAAGAGGGGATCACTAGAACCAAATTCGTTAAGCTATCTGAATGTAGAGACAGAGGTTTAATGTTAGTACCTGTATCAATCTTGCCTGAGTTTATATTTATTTTTTTGTGTTCTTAGATGGGACTTTGTGTATTTTAAAGTCTGTCATCTCTTTAGCCATGGATAAGGTCATCCGGAGATAAATGTCATTTCCTTTTTG